TGGTTCTCACCTGCTTGTTTTGTGGCCTACAATAAGTAACATATCTTATTTCAAGCTGTTTTCTTCCCTATAAAATGGACTTAACGTATCTACATCACTGGTTTGAGAATTAAAATGAGATAGCCTATATGATACCAAGTAGACCCTTGGTGAATAATTTTCTTCCCTCTTTCAGAGATTTTTGTCCTTTTTATGGGCATACTACATTGTATTCTAGGTCAGTAATTTCTGTCTCTAGTTTTGGTATCTCAGAGTTACTGCCAATAATTTCAAGGAATGTATTAAATATTGTGAAAATGATAATAAAGATGGTGAGCACTTATTGTGTGCTTAGTACTGTGATGAGGCCCTTATGTTTATTGTCTTATTTAACCCTTAACGATAGCTCTGTGAGATAGATACTAGAATTAACGTTAAGATGAGAAAATGGAAGTTTAAAGAGATTAATGAGTGTTCCCAGAGACCCTACGCAGTAAGTAGTAGGGCTGGGACATTAAGCTAGGTCTCTCTAACTGTAAAGCACCTACTCCTATAGCTCCTATAGCACTCTCTGCTGCCTCTACAATCCAATTATTTTGGGGTGATAGTAGTTAACATGTATTGAGTATTTGTTATATTCTAGGACTATTTTAAGTACTTTATGTGCTCTGTTTCATTTACCCTGCTCACTGATTTTATGAGGAGGTGCTGTTACTTTCCCCCATTTTACCAATGAGGAACAAGGTACAAAGAAATTAAGTTGCAAAAGGTAATATTTTGGGAGGAAGTAGAAGGACAGGGATTCGAATTCAGCCAGCCACTCTTAAACACCATGATATGGAGGGATGAGGGGTAAAGTAAGGCAGTGTTCTAAACATACAGTGACCTTTTTAGGTTTTTATATGGGATGGGAAAGATACCCAGTAAGACTAAAAAATTTATTTTCAGGAAGCAACTTCAGCCCTTTTCTTTATTATGATTAATAAAATATAAAACATTGTACTTGCTTTGAAAATGTTTTAAAACCATGAGTTTTAAAAATTGAGGATATTACATTTCTTTCAGTTCTAAGTTACAATTCAAGTGTGGGAATGGTGATACGAATTTAAGTTTTGTGATAGAAAAAGCTAATTTTTTTGCATTAATGAGAACTTTAAATAGTGATATAAATAAATGATGCTATTTGATAGTTGATAATATTAGCACATATGAGGATTTTATTTTATTTTAGTTTCGGGTGTAGAATTTAGTGATTCATCACTTACATAGAACACCCAGTGCTCATCACAAGTACCCTCCTTAATACCCATCACCCATTTAGCCCATCCGCCACCCATTTCCCTCCCTCAAACCTCAGTTTGTTCTCTATCACTAAGTCTCTTATGGTTTGCTTCCCTCTCTCTCTTTTTTTTCCCTTCCCATATGTTCATCTCTTTTGTTTTCCTAAATTCCACACATGAGTGAAATCATACGGTATTTGTCTTTCCCTGATTGATTTACTTCACTTAGCATAATACACTCTGCCTCCATCCGTAGTTGCAAGTGGCAAAATTTCATTCTTTTTGATGGCTGAGTAATATTCCATGGTGTGTGCGCGTGCGTGCGTGTGTATACATATACCACATTTTCTTTATCCATTCATGACTCAATGGACACGGGCTCTTTGAGGATTTTATTGATAGTGTCATGCATTAATTTAGTTACAGTTAGAACGACCCTCTTTTTTTTTTTTTAAGACAGCAATTTGTTTCTCAGATAAATGTATCTTCCTCTGTAGACTTATGTACTTCTCTTTATGTTTGCTCTCACAGTTTGGTATGTGAAAGCTTTCCTTAATCACAGATAATAGAGTGGTTTGGCTTTTCTGTAAACTGATGTCAATAAATTTTAGCTTTTGTGCTGTAGGGAAATACTCAAAATGTTACCTCCTGAATATGTTCTCTGTTGGAAAGCTAAGTCAACCAGGAATGGAAAGATTGTGAAAACTTTAGACATTGTTTTTTTTGGGTTTTTTTTGAGATATAATTGACATAGAACATTGTGTAAGGTGTACAACATACTGATTTGATACATTTATATTGCAAAGACATTGACTTTTAATTAGTGTTTTTAATTCAAGGCAAGGCAACCTTGATATTCTCATAGTGCAACAGGGCTAACTTACTGTAATAACTTTTAACAACTTTGTATATGTATATGCCATTTCCAGTTGTCATCACAGTAATTCAGAAGTAAATTTTGTTTATTCATTGAAATTCATTAGCTGGTATGACACAAGTAGTCTAAAATTTCTTTATAAACAAAGGTGAGCTTTCTGTATTTAGCCTTAGTTAAGAATCAAAATTTGAAAAACAGGATTAATGAGATAGATTGACATTTATTTCATATTTTAAACTTTTATCATGTTGAAATATGAGATTACAATCAATTTAAGGTCCTTTTCATTTCCTTGTACCATGGTTTTTTTGATGGGCCTGTGTTCGATGATTTGAGTGGTTCTCATATAAATGAGTTTGAAATAAAACCCACAGAGACTTGGCCATGTTAGAAAAACCATTGGTAAGCTGATAGTAATATAGAAAATGTGTTACAATCAAGGCAGCTCCTTGGTGGTGTTAATTTCAGTGGCAGATCTAGGTCACAATTCATCTTCTGCATACCAAATACCTCCTCTGAAGCTTAAAATAACAGATCTATTCAGAGATAGTTTCTTTTCTTTCTTTCTTTCTTTTTTTTTTTTTCCTGTGAAATTGCTAAAACATTTAGCAGAGGGTAATTAGATGACTTTTAAAATTGGTCTAACTTTTGTATTTAATGGCATTAACATTTAGTTGCTTGGGAGAATTGCCTAAATTACCGATTTTTGTTGTGGGAAAAGCATTTAGATTAATTTTATTTGGTAAGAAATATAAATGACTGTTACTATAAGTGTTTTAACAAAATCTCAAAGATTTAGGTGTATACAGAATAAAAGATGGACTGCTCTTTCTCTCTTGCCAATTTAAGCAGTCTGATTACATGTATATTTTGCTATATGATCTCAATTTAATTATAAGTGATGTTTGCAAATGAAGGGTTTTCTTTTTGTTTAAAAACATATTAAACAGAATGAAAGTCATTTGGTATCTATAGACTTTAAAGTCTCTGACTTATACTTTTAAATATTTTCTTCAGAACTTGCAAATTTTGGTGATTTGGAATGATTTTGTATAGAGTACTGCAACTATCATATTTGCAAATTATACCAAGTAAATTATTTACTGTAAATTTTATTGAATTTGTTCTTCCTAGGTGTAGTCATAGGATCAATTGGAGTATCTGTCTTAACACTGAATTACTTGAATCATGTCAGAAATACAATTGTTGGGTGGACAAATTCTATATAGTAAATACCACATCGAACTTGAAATACCTGATATTTAATCCTAATAAGATTTCTTGCTAGATATATTTTCGAACTGGTAAATGAACGATGCTGTTCTATTTTGGGTTTGTCAATCCGTGATAATCCCTTAAAAATTAAAAATAAACTTTTAATTATAGATGTAGTATGTGTTTATTGTTGAAAATTAGAAAATACAGGTAAGCAAAAAAGAAAACATCTAGATATTTATAATCCTGCCAGCCTAGATAACTACCATTAACACTTTGATGTGTATTTCTTCAGGTACTTTTCTGTGTAATATATGTACAAAACATATGTACATCCATCAGACTTTTTCCTCTCTATAGGTCCTTTGCTTCTCCCTGGAATATTTTTCCCTAGAAAACACGCCTGGCTTGTCTTATTATTTAGGAATCAGCTTAAATGTTACCTCCCAAAGGGAAGTTTCCTCAGCACCTAGAGTAGCTTACTGATACTTTGTTTTTCTTGCCAAACTAGATTGTAAAGTCCAAGAGAATGGGGGTTATGTCTGTCTTAGCACCATATCCCCCTAGTGCCCAGAAATGTCCCTGGCACTTAGTGGGTACTTAATAAATGTTTGATTGTTTAATATTATAAACATGGGATCAGAGTATATCACATTAGATGCCCTGGAAAGAAAGGTAAGATATATATTTCTGACCTTAGATTGCTTACAGTCTAGAGGAGAGGTAGAAAATTGGATATGTGATAACATAGAATGTGGTAAGTTCTGTGGTAGGGGAAGGGGAAGTACAGTGCTAAGGAAGCACAGGGTAAGAATAGCTATCCAAACTGGGTAGGGATGACTTGTTAGACAATGCTTCCTGGAAGATTGGCAATGTAAGCATTCTGTAACCTTGTAATTCATCAGTTCTTTTCATTTATAATATAACTTGTAATGGCTGGGTAGTATTTTGTCAGTATGTAAGTACCAGAGTTTAATCAACATCCTGTTACTTAGGATAGACATTTAAGGGGGAGTCCCTAAATAACTGTCATGGATATTTTTGTGTATCTTCAGTTATTTTCTTAGGTAATTTTTACTTGGGAGTGGAATTTCTGGGTCTGATAATTACAAATATCTGCAAGGCTTTTGGTGTACACATCCATTTTGGTGGGTGCCAAATTGCCCTCCATGGAATTTGTAACCGATTTATACTTCCAACAACAGTATATGAGAATGCCAAAAAAAGAAAAGTCAATCCAGTTTGGTAGGCAAAATGGTGTCTTACAGCTTACTTTGCCTTTGTTTGATTTACCTGTATGTATCATAGCAAAATATGACAAGCTTCAGTTTAGATTTTACAGTGGTTACTGAAGAGATGTTCCATACAGTATGGCAGATGTGAAATTACGTGGATATTTCCTTTACTTTTCATTGCAAGTCGTATTAAATTATATGCTTACATATTCATTGTCTACTTTTTAGCATAGTTTTCAACCCTGAATATTACCGTATTCTAAGATCTTTGTCTCATTTTATAAACATGTAAGTTGTCATGGCAAATTCAGAGAAACTGAGAATAGGCCATTTAATTTGAGATCAAATACCGTAAGAAGTTTATATGTTGACACTAGGCCTAGCAACTAACTTCTTTTTAATTATTGTGGCCAGAAACACCAGATGAAAATGGTAAAACCCAGAGAGCTGATGATTTTGTCTTGAAGAAAATAAAGAAGAAAAAGAAAAAGAAACACCGAGAAGATATGCGAGGAAGACGCCTTAAAATGTACAATAAGGAAGTACAAACCGTCTGTGCTGGCCTGACCCGCATCAGTAAGGAAATCCTCACCCAAGGACAAATAAATAGCACTTCAGGAGTTAATAAGGAGTCCTTCAGGTATCTGAAAGATGAACAGCTGTGCCGATTAAATTTGGGCATGCAAGAATATCGGGTACCCCAGGGAGTACAAACACCTTTTATGACTCACCAGGAACATTCTATTCGTAGAAATTTCTTAAAAACAGGTACTAAATTTAGCAACTTTATTCACGAGGAACACCAGTCCAATGGTGGTGCACTTGTCCTTCATGCTTACATGGATGAACTCTCATTTTTGTCTCCAATGGAGATGGAGAGATTTTCTGAGGAGTTTCTTGCTTTGACATTCAGTGAAAATGAGAAAAATGCTGCTTACTATGCTTTAGCAATAGTGCATGGAGCGGCTGCTTATCTCCCAGACTTCTTGGACTACTTTGCTTTTAATTTCCCCAACACTCCTGTGAAAATGGAGATTCTGGGCAAGAAAGATATCGAAACAACCACCATTTCAAATTTTCACACTCAGGTAAGATAAAATCATTGTTAAATTGTTTAGTAAATACAGCTTCTTGACAGTATTAACCTCATTCTGTTTCATTTGCACATACCAGCACACTTTTGATAAAAATTCATGGTGGTAAAGGTGATTCAGATCATTAGTTTATTGCTCTGACTGAAAAATCTTAATTGCTGGTTCTTTGGGATGTAGCTTGTTACTTGCTTGGTCTAAGAAATGCTTTATACATGTTATACATCATTACAAGTCTTTATGGAAAACCAGCTTGAAAACGAATCCAGTCTTTCAGAAATCAGGTACTGTTAGTATAGAGGATGTGATTTCGATCTGGTAGCATCAAGGTAACTTTAGTTAAGACTACTTATGTCATAAACACACGAGGGCATTGGCCTGTTTGTTTGCCAGGTTTTTGCTGGCTTTGTTTCTTTCAGTAACTTGTTGGCAGTCTATCCCAGAAACATACCCCGTTTACGTGACTTGGAAGTGTCACTAGGAAGACCGCCATAGCCTCTGCTCCTTCTGCCTATGCACTGTTGTAGGTGAAGACCTTTTCTAAAGCCTTGCTTGGGCAGCTAGGCTTAAGTCAGCAGGGAAATCTCTCCTTCCTAACCACTGGTTTTTGACCATTTTTTCAATGAGTTATTTTAGGGCACAGAAAGAAGTTAACATGTCCTAGTTATTTTCTTACTTCCTTTTCTCATAAGGATTATAAACATGAATGGTCAGCTTTAAGTTGGTATCATAGATACAAATTCAACACAAGTTTAGTGGAGAATATTTTACTTTTTAGAGATTTATGATTATATAACCTGTTTTTTCAGGTTATCTAATAATTTGCTGCCATTCTTTTTCTTAAGATTTTTTTTTTTTTTTTAGGTAAATAGACTGTTGCTTAATAAGACTCTCAGCTGCCTGCATTATAGTGGTTTCAAGCCACTTGGATTTATTTGAAACCTCTTCTAACTTGAATCTTTTTAATGATTCTTGCCATCCTTGCCTCCAGTGAGGGGAGTATCCAGTTTAGATTCATGAGCTTCAGAATTTCTCTAATTGAAGTTCTCTCTGCAGTAGAGAGAACAGGAGCAGCCAATCTGGAGAGGTCGCAAGATGGGGCTGCCCAAGACGTTGGAACACGATGTGCAATAAAGGGCTTCGTCTTGGATTTTGGCCTTGTTACCACAATCAGGTACCGAAGTGCTGACTTTTGTAGTAGATTTCTTTTACTTTTTTTTTTTTTTAAGGAGTTTTGCCCTTTGAAGGTTAAGAATCCTATTTTTATAAATATTGCAGAGAAGGGACAGAAAACAGTTTTCCTGATATAGGCCATAATCCCCGTAAGTCCCTATTTAACAAAGAAGGATATTGCTGAGAGCAGAATTAACATGCTTCATCACTTTTTTAGTTTAGAAAATGCAGCAAATTTTCTCTTCCGATTGATAGACCAACAAGCATATCTGAGAAATAAGCCAGAAATACGGGTGAAAAAAAGTCTTGGTTTTGTAGTGGTGGCTTTTTAACTTTCATGTTAGTGAGTCTATAGTAGATCAAGCTTATTTGTCAATAGTACCCAATCTAAATAGTTAATAAAAGAAGGTATCTCTACATATTCCCTGCTGATTTTTGTCCTCCGATTAATTTTTTAAAATGGAGCTGAAATTTAAATGACTGTACCAACAACTTACCTTGAGATTTACTTGGAGATTTATAAAAGAAACTCTTCTTAAGAACATCTGAGATTATTACTAAATTAGATATCTTTATGCCTTCAACCAGATAAGAATATTGAGGACTACTGACTAAGTCTTGTGCTGTGGTAATCCTAGAACTTAATTTTATTTACGAATTTTCAGTCATTGGAGAAGTATGGGGTGGGTATGGAGGTTGAAGTAGTCCATGAAACTTTAAATTTGCACCTGTCAAATATTTGGCAGATGTTAGTATGGAAGCTAACACAATAGTTGACATTTATTTAGCAGTTCGTGGTTTATAGAAATATTTTCACATTCATAACTGAATATTTGAAACAACCTATGGTGTGTAGGTAAGCAATTTTATCTCTGTTTTCCTTTGAAGGAACTGAAGCCTGGAGATGTTGTTATCCAAGTTCATGTAGCTAGTAAGTAGGAAGTCACAGTGCTAACCTAGGCCACCTGAACAATATGCCTTTCATTTTACCACCCTTCTTTACTTCAGCCATTGGAAAAGAGACCAGTGCTTTTATTTGTCTACCACTGTCATTAGTGAAATTAAAATAATCTTAGTTTAACACAGTATTGAGAAGGCTGTTAATTTTTAACAAATACTTTTAGATTGTTGGGAATTAAGTGAACACCTTAAATATTTTGGACTTCTTTGTTTAATGAAGTCTTTTAAAGTTCTGTTAAGCCTATGAAGAAACTGAAGAAACTTTTGTTACCTTGGACAGTTTTTGGAAGTTATTTATAGTTTAAATATGTAGCCATGATAATTATTCATGACTATTATTTCAAGGTAGTTTATTTAGCAAACACTTATTTTTCATTTATTTTTTAAAGATGTATTTATTTATTTGAGAGAGAGAGAATGAGTGAGTGAGCATGCAGCAGGGAGGGGCAGAGGAAGAGGAAAAGAGAGTCTGAAGCCGACTCCGCGGAGCCCCATGCAAGGCCTGATACCAGGACACTGAGATCACGACCTGAGCCACAACCAAGAGCGGGACACTTAAGCAACTGTGCCACCCGGTGCCCCTCAGCAAACCATGTACTGGACATTCTGTTCCTAAAAGGACTAATTGATGAGCTCAGTCTGGTGGAGATGAATAGACCAGCAATTATAATACAATTTGCTAAGTATTCGAATAGAAGTATGCTGCATAGGGAAAACCGTGTAACAGAGGGAGCACAGTTTGCGGTGTTACCTAACAGACTTGAGGTGATTAGAAAGGGCAGTTTAAAGCATGTGATGCTTGAGTAGAGTCTTAAAAGAAGATTAGTACTTAGCTTAATAAGGGCATTTTAAGCAAAGGAAAAACAGCCTATGCAAACACACAGAGGCATTAGAGAATGTGGTACTTTCAGGGAGCTGCAGCTAGCCTGACATGGCAAGAGTACATGTTGACTGTTGAGGGGTGGTGGGAATTGAGACGAGAAAAAAAAATCAAGATGGTGAAGAGCTTTATATGATGTGCCGAAAGAAAGTTAGTACTTTTTCCTAAAGGTAATGGGGAAATCATTGGTGAATTTTAGTAGGGGAGTACTATCAAGTTATGTTTGCCAAGATTACATAGGAATGTGAAGGATGAGATTGAGGACGAAAATGAGATTGGAAGCAAGAAGACTGGTTAGATTACTATGGTAACCAAGTCAGAAATGACCCATGTCACAAATGATACACTAGAGAGGAAGGAATGAAATTTGAGAAATAATTAGAAGATGGGATTAATTGCAGTTTGGTGAGGGAGAAGGATAGAGTCTTAAAATATGGTTTGGACAAATGGGCAGATGGTGGTGCTGGTCACGAAGTTAATACAGGGTTGAAAAAGCTGGTTTCTAGGGGTGGAAGGTGTTGATGAAGAGTTCAGTTAGAGATACTTTGTGTTGGAAGTGCCTGTGAAGACTAAAGGTTAGAAACATCTATTAGGTAGTTGAATATGTGGATCTAAGACTGGGAGACATATGTAGGCTGGAAATGCAGCAGTTGGATCCATTAGCATATAGGTGATCCAGGCACAGCATTAGAGTGAAAAAGAGATGAAGCTAAGAATGGAATCCTGTGATGCACCCACGTGTAAGTATGAGGAACGTGGGAAAGATCAAGAAGAAAGGTAGAAGGAAAATGATACAGATTTTCTAGGTTTTAAGAATGATGGAGTAATTAGGTATCACATTCATAGGAGGGATCAAGTAAGATAAGGGGAAAATGTGAAGTTGCTCAATTAGGAATTTAATTGGAAACCAGTGCTTATCAAGATGCAAACCATGGCTAAGTACTATTATTTATGGGGCTTTTTAGAAGCTTACTACTTTCTCTGTGTATGAACTTGGCATTCAAACCCCTGCCCACATCTTCTGAATCAGATTCTGCATTTTAACAAGATTTGCAGGTGATTCATATACACATTAAGGTTTGGGAAGCACTCCTTTAGAACTTATCTGCAGTAGTTGAAGGAAGGAAAATGTAGGCTTGTTTTGTGCAGGAATAATTATAGCTTCTGTTATTTTTATATTTTTAAATTATTGTGGTGGCAAAGTTAGGATGCACATAAAGGTGTTTTTTTTTTTTTTCTTTCCGTATTCTGTAAAACTCAAATATCCTAACACCAACGGAGGTAATAAGTTCATGATAAATATCAACTGAAGCACCAAGCTGATCCTCAAATTTGATTACGTTCATCAGTTGATACAGGATAACTTTGTAAAGTTGCGTTTCTAATCTAAAGAACTACATATGTATTAACATATATGTATGGTATTTTTATAATTTTGTAGGATTATTCAGATCTAATTAAGTTTTAAATAATCATTGGCTAAGTAACAATTTTGACTGAAAAGTTTAAGTGTTGGTGGAATCTTTTGGTTGGTTAATGAAGAAAAAAATTAGCGTCCGCTTAGAAATCTGTTTCTCCCTAAAATATATATATGTTTTAGGAATAAGTATAATTTAGGATTTTTTTGGTTAGGTGCTATATCTTGTAATTATAATAGTCTTCCAGCCATCTTATGGACTAACAGGATTTTAGAGTAGGTGGGGGCCATTTCCAACCCTTCATTTTACAGACGAAGAAGGTCACATTTTGGTTATGACCTTCCCAAAGGTTAAATAGTGGCAGATCTTCAAAGGGGAATTATTTTTTCTTCAGTCACTGAGTGGAATTAAATCCTACAGGTGAGGGTTAGCAAGTTTTAATGTGTATATGAAATGCAGAGTTTGATTTTATCGGTCTGGGTTTGGGCTTTATAGTCTGCATTTCTGATGAGTTTCCAGGTGATGCTGATACTGCTGGTCACGAGCCGGCAAGGCTATAGACTGTA